AGAAAGCCGGATCCCCAGGGGGTTCTGCTTCGGCACCCTCTTCACTGTTTTGGGCTCAAAACCATCCGTCACGAAGTGTGGGCTGAGGTGTGTCTATTGTTGTTGTTCTCAACCCCAGTTAATGCTTGACATTCGTGGATCTTCTACGGGGAAACGTAGCGCTGGTGTGATGGCATAGAGCAGGATAAGTTCCGGGGGCTCCTGTTTTGGATGTTCATTGAGTCATGGGAGCAGAAGTCTTTGTCACTTGAATACAAGCGTAAAATATTTCTTAGGGTAACATGTGTGCCGGACCGGATCTCTTCGCCGTGTTGACAGTCTCGGCCTCGGTCGTCCTCGGCCAAGCACTGTGGGAGTCCGACCAAATCAGCACGACAATATGTCAATGGCAACAGCTTCGAGGTGGGCTTTGTCGGCAATATCATGTTTTTATTGTTTCTAACTCCACCTAGCGGCCGTCCTCCGGGACACAGTATACTTGGACGGCGGGAATCTATGGTGGTCACCTAAGTTCGTCGACGGAAGAACGGAGAGACTCAAAGACGATCGTGAGTATCTTACCGGGGATGTGCTGCTAAACAGAGATATATATTGATTCTTCACAGTTAACCCACTTGGCCACATGTACACCCTCAACTTCAGCACACCGGTTGAGACATCCGACAACATTTCGGCCATCTTGGGAGTGATCGAAACTGGAGGCGGGGGTACCAACCCCCGCGCTCCGACTTACGAGGACGGCGCCCTCCTCGGCAACGATGCCGAGTTCTTTCTCTACGGCGGCCTGATGGGGCGTCCACATACGACCCCGGACCCGCCAGGGAACGAGGTGCTTTACTACGAAAAGTACCTGTACGGACCAGAACGACCGTTGAACCAGCCCTTCAATTCCAAGGCACTTGGAGGGAACATGACCCGCTACATTACCTACGGGGGCGCTGCGAGCGCACCCTCGGAGAACTTAGCGTGGTATTTCTCCGGGATGCGCTCTGCAACCTGGGGCAAGATCTATAAACCGGGGGCCAACGACAATAGCTCGTTCGACGCCACCGAGGTCTCAAACACCCTCATCACGCTAAATATGGAGAGGCAGCGGTTCGAAACCTTCAAAAATGACACGCTGTCGCCGGGCATCGAAGGTCGAGCAAACCCGGAACTCGTCTGGGTGCCCGTCGGCCGCCGCGGGATACTTGTGGCTCTAGGGGGCGTCGTGTATCCTGATTTCGCCTCCGCATTCGCGATATCAGCCAATGAGACAGCCAGCGTAAGTATTTCTATTCTATCTCGTATTTCTGCGCTGACCTGAACAGAGACGGCGAAGCCCCGGGTTTATGTCGACTATCGACATTTATGACGTGGACAGCGAGAAATGGCATAGCCAGAGGACAGTCGGCGGCCCGGGTCAGCTCACCCGCGGTTGCGCCGTCGTAGCTCGTGCGCAGGACGGTTCAAGCTTCAACATCTACTACTACGGCGGCTACGATGGCCTGGATTCGACGAAACCCTTTAGTAGCGACGTTTGGGTCCTGTCGTTGCCGTCGTTTACCTGGGTCAAGTTGGCGACCGGTGGCGCAGATGGACGCGCCGGGCACAAGTGCGTCACGCCATACCCCGACCAGATGCTGGCCATCGGAGGCTACCAAGGCCTGACGGCGGCTGTCCCAAAATGTCTTGACGAGACAATCAGGGTGTTCAACCTCACTACTGGGAAATGGCTCACGCGGTATGACCCTGCAGTGTATGCCAACTACACCATCCCCAGCGCCGTCGTTGACAAGATCGGCGGGTCCGGCACCGGGGGCGCCACGGCCACGACCCCGAGCCCCTCGTGGGATGCGACAGAGCTTGCGGGCATCTTCAATGAACAGTATCCGATGAGCAAGATCACGACATTCTACCCGTATGCCTCGGTCGGCCCAGCCAATAACACTAATCCGGATGCCCCGCCCCCCGACGACGGAGGCGATAGCGGAGGAGGCCTCCCCTCATACCTCCCCCCGGTGCTCGGTGTTGTCCTGGGTCTAGTCTTCTTGACTATGGTAGCGGTCCTGATCCTCCTCTGGCGCCGCCGCAGACTACTGCGCCGCAGCGGTACCGCTAGCGAAGCCGGCACCGAGGACACCAACGGCAATCGCATCGCGTCGTGGCTGCGCGGCCAGCCTACCGAGGTCAAGACACCGACCCTCACCAATTCATCCGAGTATTTGCCTGTGAGCTCGACAGAAGTCGACAGCAGCGTCACCGGCGCCGCACCCCCGATGTCTATCGCCGAGATGATGGACACCGGGCAAATAGCCGAGCTACTCAGGTAAACCCCTTCCCCCAACCCTTCCCCCAACCGACCCCCTACTAACCCCCCTCCCAAAGACAACTTCCCACCCAGCCGAACTGCACTCCGCCGCTCTCTCCCCCACCGCCGCCGCCGCCACCACCGCCTCCCTCAACAATAACACCCACTACCCCTCCACCCACCAAACCGACCACGCCTCCGTATCCGCAACCGCATCCGCACCCTCCCCCTCCCCCCCCCCCCACCCCACCTAACCGCCCATCCCCCCCGCCGCCGGCGAAGTCGATTCCCCCATCTTCTACCGCCCGGACTCGGACGCCCTCGGCCGCGGCGCCACCAGCGCCCACCACCTCCCCGACTGGCACTACCACCGCGGGGGCCTCCCCCATCGCGGGGCATAATCACCTCGAGCCTCGGTCTGCAAGCAAAAAAGGTCCTCTCGGGCATCTCGAACCTGTCCGAGCGCGACCGCGCCCATCTGAGGCAGATCAGTGATACCACCGTGTCGTCGGTTACGACGGCGCCCGGGGCGGGGGGCGGCGGCGCGCCGGGGAATGGGAACGGTGGGAACGGGAACGGCGCCGGTAGTGAGCGCGAGCGCGAGCGCGAGCGGATGCTTAGCGGTGTGAGTGCGCTTAGTGCCGGGACGGGCGCGGGGGTGTATGGGATTGGGGCGGGCGGGGGCGGGGGCGGGGTGGATAGTAGGGGGGTGAGTGCCATGGTGGCTGAGAGCCCGGCGGTGGTGTCGCCGCCGACGGCGACGGCGGGGCCGGGCGAGGGGGTCGATTATTTGAGTGCGAGGCCGTTGGCTGGGCAGGGGCAGGGGCAGCAGCAGCAGGGGCCGGGGAGTCCGTTGAGGAGGAGTGTTTTCTCGGAGGATATTAGTGGGGGCGAGGAGAGTAAGCCGCCGAGAGGGGGTGGCTGAATAGGTAAGTTGGGATTTGGGGGTTTGATGTTGTAGATGGGGGGAATATGGGGTGATTGTACTGGAGGACGTTGTTACGGGTATGGTCACTCCTTTGGTGGGTTTCAATGATGATGCGTGTAGGTGTCGGCTTTTTGGGCTGGGTAGCTATGGTTGTAATCCGGCGCTGTTGGGGTCCACTCGTCAATATTGACGGTATACGAATGATACGCAGCTTAATGTTCATGCATGTTTTTATATCAGGGGTCGACCATCCATGCTATTGTGCCTCGAAATCACCCTTCCACCGCAACTTCCTTCCACAACAGCCCCCTTCCATAGCAGTCCCTCCCTTCCTAAACATCCTCTTTCTTCGCCGTCACCTCAATCTCAATCTTCATCGCCTCCTCCATCAACCCAGCCTGAACCATAGTCGCCGCGGGCCGGACGTCCCCAAACCATTTCTTCAGAACCGGCCTAAACTTTGTTAGCCATCCTGTGCCACCACCACTAGCACCATCCCCAAAGAACGGCAGCTGCCACCACAACCCCCGGGCCACAACTTACCACGTCTTCTCAAAATCCCGCCTATCCGGCAGGGTATACTGCACCCTCACCACATCCCCCATCCCAGCCCCCGCCTCAGTCAGCGCCGCAGCAATATTCTGCATGCATTGCTCGGCCTGCTCGGCCACGTCGTCTGAGATGGCGCCCGTCTTGTAGTCGTATCTGTTTTTGGGGGGTTATATCATGAGTAACCTGAAAAGCGCTACAGGCACGGTCGGACTGTTCTGGCAAGGCCGTGGCATAAAAGAAGGAAAGGGCTTACCCCGTGCAACCCGACACGAAGACCATGTCCCCCGAGACGACGGCGCGGGAGTAGCCGATCTGGGCTTCGAAGGCCGAGCCGGAGGAGATGAGCCTGCGGGTGGTCATGGTAGGGGTGGTGGTGGGGAGTGCTGGGGGATAAAAGCAGTGGGATGAAAAGAGATCTGGGGTGGGTGTGAGAGGGAAGAAGGAAGGGATGGTCATGGTTGAGTCACGGAGCAGGCGCCGATGGGAGCCGGGGTGAGTAACCTCGGCCAACCCTAACCCTTCTGAACCTTATCCCCTTTTCACTTGATCAAGGGGCTATAAGGGAGGGTTTAGTTCAAACAGCTTTCCTCTATAATTATACCAGTCGCTAGCAAGAGAAGAGATTGTGTGTCGCAGTATGCCTCGTGATCCCATGCCACCCAAAGATCGTCTCACCAACCCTCCCTCACCCCAAGCCGCTGCTCAACCTTCCTGCGGTCCATCTCCAGATCCCCCAACCCAAGATCCCCTTCCACAAAGAAATCGTATTTCCCCAGCACTGTAATCGCCTCCTTCAGCCACGAATGGCATGTGGTGCCGGGGCCGGCAAAGACCCGATCGACCAGGGCTTCCCCAATCTCAACATCGTACGCAATGCGGGCGTGGGGGAAGATGTACGTCTTGTCCCGGACGCAGCACTCGTCGGTCCAGAACCCACCCTCGCGGAACTCGTAGACGGTGCCCTCTATGCTGGGGTCGTTGGGGTCTTCGGTGGCGTAAAAGCCAATCTCGAATCTATACGAGGGGAGGTTAGCTGATGTGTAGAGAGGCGTGTATGAGAAGCTGTCTTGAGCGTAGAAGTGGGATGTCTTGCCGTTTTTCGAATTCCGTTTCTTGCGGGTTCGCATCTGTGAAGGCTATACAAAGCCATCGTCCATGACCTTCCACGCCCGGCTTGGGAGCGTGTGGGAGGTAGTAAGTATAGTGGTCAAGGTCGGACATGGTTCGAGTTCACGGGGCTAGAGAGTAAAAAGGGTGTGGTCTTTCGTAGGGGACGTGGGTTCGGATGAGGGGTGGGACTGAGGTCTTTATATCTGAACATGAAGTATGGTACCTTGGGATCCCAATTGACCCCGTCCATTGCCGTTCTTTATGAAATAATAGTTTGAAGCCACCGGGGTCGTTGCGTTGTTGGTTGATAAAGGGGCAAAGTAATTCTGAGGTGGGAGTTGGGTAGCCGAGCGTGACCGGGCTTGCTCAGCTTGGGCTATAGTTGGGTCCGAGTGACCTTTGTTACCAGACATTCCAACACTCGGTGTTTGCGTGGTTAAGACACGATATGGGGCGTTTTTGGCATCATAGCTTCTGCGCCTCTTTTCGCCTCGAGTTGGCTCGAAGCCCGTTCGTTGTGTGGAAACGCCAAGTGTAACTGGAAAGGCAAGGGATGAGAGGCAGCCCTCAACCCCAGCCAGTAAAGTATTGTTCCTGCTAGATTGGTGGCAGCGGCGTTGGTAGCAAAATACAAATTACAGAATGTCCGGCCATTGGCAATGGGAGCACCGTAGGGTATGAAGCTATCGCTGACGCCCCTCGGCCACATGGCCTCAAACACGGCCGGCCAGACAACACATTCAGCTCCCGCATGGAACTACCTCAGGTTGGTTATACAGCACCTAAAACAATACCAACTGCGCCTGTCCACCACACCACTCCTGAAACGACTTTTGCCCCAAACTCCAGACACTGGGGATAACCAATGCTGCGCTATCGAAACTGCGACGTCTATCCCCCGCCATGCCTCACGCAAGCATAGAATGCGACCGAATCCCCTTAGGGCCCAGTTCACTGTCACCAATGTCAGCATACAATGCATCCCAAGACCAACCACGAAACACATCAGAAAAAAAAAACAAAAAAAACTCACTTATAATCAACGCGACTCAAACTCATCAGCCGCTGCGCCTCCAACCCCTGCGCGTCCAAGTTATGTATGCAAAACGCCAGGCGCGCCGCGACCTGAGCGCCCAGGAACATGGCCTCCTCAAAGCCGTGCTTGGTCCACTCGGTAAGATAGGCCGGCAGCGGCGCCAGGCGAATGTTAGTCGGCGTCTGGCTGTGGAAGTGGTGGCTCGTGCTGTTGGCGGCGTCGCCCGCGCTGGAGACCGCCACGTTGGCACCGGGCACGCCCAGGTTCGCCGTGGTCGCCGCCTGCAGAAGGGGGTTGACGTTGCTGGTGGTGGGGAGCGGGTGCGGGGCTCCGGCGAAGGAGGAGGTGGGTGTCTGCGAGCCGGTTCCCGAGGGCGTCCCGATGTTGGAAGGAAGCTCCGAAGTGAACATGGTGGCAGAGCTAGGGGAGACGAGGTGGCGCGCCTGTAGTGTTTGCAGGATGTTGTCGCGGAGGCCGCGGATGCGGGCGCCGTTGCCGACGAAGACGATGTTCTCCCAGCAGCCGGGGCGCATGTACATCTCCTCGATGCTCTGAATGGCGTTGTAGATGGCCATCACGATGCGGTCGATTTCGGCACGGTCGGCGAATTGGAAGCGTTCCAGGCCGATCTCAATATCGCGGCGCACGCGCCGGGTCACCCGCTCCGTCGCTGTTGTGGCGGTTTCTGTTGGTTGGGCGTCGGAGGGCTGGGGTTGTTCCTCAGTGGCCGTTTCTGCCTTGGGTGCCTCCCCAGTTTCGCCTTCACCTTCTGTCGCCCCCTCGGCTGCGGCGGCCTCTTTGACACCGTCATCTTTGGCCGGCTGGGCAACCGGGACATCCTCCGTGATCACCTCTTCGTAGTGGAACAAGGTTCGGAATCTTTTCGAGTTGGGTAGTCTGGCTGCTTTGGTAGCATCGGCGGCGGCGTTCTCCTTATCCTTCGGTTTCCGCCCAGGCTTCCCCTTCTCGGCCTTCTCCTTTTCCTTCTTGGCTAGAAATTCCCTGGTTTGCCCGCTCACCACAATGTTCGCGACATCTAGCACACCATCATCTTCGGTGTCTTTTGCCTCGCCATTCACTCCAAGCTCGTCATCCGCGACCGGTACACCACTCCTCGGCTCTGCAATTTTTAGTCCCTCGCTGGCTGGTGCCGCCGCTGCAGCTAGAGGCGCATTGTCTGTCTCTGTCGGCAGCTCCATCAATCCCGGCTGTTCGGGCGCATACGGCAGCACCTCGCAGATGGCGCTCTTCTTTAGCTGCTCGGCCATCTCGTGGTCGAACCCCTTCGCTTCCAGCAGCTTGACCAGCCGCTTCGTAAAAGCTTCCCCGCCACTGGCCCCTTCGGCGGACCCAACATCCCTCTGCGAAACCACGCGGCCGTCGTAGATACACGTGACGTCAACCTTCTCGAAGCCGACGTCGACGACTGTCATGTTGGGCCACTTCAGGCCGTACTGGGTGGCGATGCCGCTGTGGATGAGGCAGAGGGCGGGGGTCTTGGTCTTCTCGAAGACGTAGCGGGTGATGGTCTCGCAGTCGGGGCGGGTCCACTGCGGGGAGGCCATGAGCATGACCGGTGTGTTGTGGTAGGTGGTGGTGAGCTGGGCGTGGACGTGCTCGAGGAAGGCGAGGAAGGCCTCCATGTTTGCGATGCGGCCGGCTGTAGAGGACGCCATTGTCAGAAACACACTCCCACAACCCCAATCGCAATCGCACCAAGCATAGGTAGTGTCAAAAAAAAAAAAAAGGAAGAGAGCAAATAAACGCACCCTGAATCGGATAGACCGCACCCTCCGCCGAGTCCATATCCTCCACATACTCCCACTCCTCCTCCCCAGCCCCAGCCCCAGCACCCACATCAGCACCCGCCCCAGCAGCACCCGCACCCGCAGCACCCCCCGCCTTCTTCCTCTTGAACGTATGATGGGCCCTCCAATCGCCCGACTCCTCGTCGCGGAACATGCGCGTGGGGAAGCGGTGCACGGGCGGGGTCAACTCGTTGCAGCCGAGCTGGGCGAGGGTGGTCTGGCTGCCGGGGCAGACGACGAGGACCTGCTCTTCGCGCCACTTGCCCGTCTGGCTCGACATGGCGGCGGCGGCGGTGATAGTCCCGACCGGTTGTGGTGTGGTGTGGTGTAGTGATGGATGATTGACTGGGCGAGGTGAGGTGGATGCGCAACGCGGCGCAATGGAAAAAGAGATTGTTCTGGGGGTTGGGGAATCGTAAAAGAGTGGCCTGGTGGTGGTTTGCGCGGCAGCACGGGGTTAATTGATGTTTTGTTGTCGCGGCGGGTCGCGGTGGGTTGTGTGAGTTGTGCAGATACCGATACCTTAATCCGTACAGCGGACGGACGACCAACCCAGGTCGGTAGTGCAGTCCGGGCAGCTGGGCCGCAGTTGCAAACAGGAGTTAACACTGTGGTTGTAGCGGCGCGTGCACGCGTCATTGGGGGCAATGGGATGAGAAATATTTTGGTACCTAGTTAGTTAGTTAACTAGTTAACTAGTTAACATTTCAATTTCATAACTATTACATAAGTCAATCTGGTCAATTTGGTTAACTAACTAGTTAATCTGGTCAATTTGGTCAGTCTGGTCAATCTGGTCAATCTACTTGCCTAGCTACCTACAGAATGGGTGGAATCACCGTAATAACGGGTACATGCGTACCCAGCCAAACCCGCTTTCTGTAAATGTAGACAATTGTCTAGCCAATGTCCTTGCCAACCTCATGCATCCTGTACCCCGTAGCCTGTCCATCTCATGGCGATGGTGCGAAAAGGGTCATTAGAAGCACGTCGCAGAAATCGGATAACCTTGGGAGTCTGTGGTTTACAATTGCCGCACCCAGGCCCCAATTCGTTGACGGCGGCAGCATCCATCTCTCCAAGTACACCGTCTCCGCCCTAGACAGCTCTCTTGCTTCCGTCGACCTCCACCTGCGCTCGGCTTCCTCTCTCGCTTTGCGTAAGACCGCCTCCTCGTCTTCCACCTGGTACAGGGTGCACCGGGTGCATTCGGTGCATTTTTTCTTGGTTGGATCGGCCCAGAAGTGGTTGCAAAAGTGCTGGTAACTGCCATGAGGGCCTTTGCCGCTGATGTCTTGGCGGCAGATGTAGCACATCTCGTACCCGCAGGGGCAAGTCATCTTATTGCAGCCCGAGCTCCTGACAAACGACGTGTTGCAGCGCGGGCACACTCGCTTGATGGCCAGGCTCATGGCCTGCTCGATCTGGGTGCGCAGCGCGTCAAGCGTGTCCACATGACACACATGCACGTCTGCCCAACCCTTCTCGCAAGACAGACAAGACTTGCGCTCGCAACCAGGTCTTCGGCAGTTAAATTGTAGTCCACGATTGCGCTCACGACGGCGGATGACGGCCTCGCGCATCTCGGATACGAAGCGCCTAAAACAGTAAACGATCATATTGTCGAAGAGAGTCGTCGTGATAAGGACGACGAGGAAGAAAATAACCGGCATGTTAGCAAGGACCAGGAGCGGCACCAAAGGGATGCAGCAGAGGCCCAAAATGGCGAGGAAAGGCATGCAGAAGAAGCCCAAAATGGCGAGGAGATACCCGTTGACCTCGTTGATCCGGGGGCAGAAGTCTGACCGGGTCACGGGCTGGTAGGTTTCGTCCACCTCGGCGTAGCCACAAAAGGGACAACGGGCAAACGGGAGGTTGCTCGCCGCAAGGCTGTATTCCGCGACGCGGTCCTGTAGCTGGCGTAGAAGTTCGGGACCGTTATCTGCCTGGAGCACCGCCCGTTCGAATTGCTCGTTGCAAATGTGGCCTGTGCATCCCTCGGAGTCGACGGCGATGCACCGAAGGCCTCCAGTCTCTTGGTTGATGCTGCGTTGCCAGCCCTGGCCGAAAACGGCTTCTGAGGCGCTGTGTTGCACGCACCGGAAGCACAGCATGTGGCCGCGGTCATTGCACGAAGTGAACTCTTCGAAAACACCCTCGTCAAAGCAGCACGCACATTCGAACATGCTGCCGGTCTGCTCTGCCTCCAAGTTGTTCAGACGCGAGGCCATCTTGTAATCCTCCGCCTCGCGGGCAGCTCGTGCTTGTTTTCTGAGGGGTGCAATGAGTACTGCAAAAAGCTCTTGGTCGAGCTCGGCGTTGCCGGTTGATCTGAGTGTGGGTATTGTTGAGCCCTGGCCTGTCGGCTTCCAGATCACCAGGGGATGGTTCTTAGCGTCGGTGGTTGACACGGGTTTCCGGCGTCGAAAGAGCGAGGAAATGGTGAAGCGCCACGATTTGGACGAGAGGTCAACCAGTGTCTGGCGCGCGTCGAGGTAGGAATAGTTGTTCTCGGCTAGAACAGCGTTGATGGCCGAACGAGAGAGTCCCTTGAACTCGTGCCAGGCGAGGCTCTTCGCGGCTTGCTTGTATTGGGGGCTCCTAAAAGTCTCTTTCTTGGGAACCAACTCTTCTTCTGCTTGACCGGGTTCGGTCGCGACTCTCCAACGGCCCTTGACCCACGAAATGTCGTTCTTCAATAATTCGTCTGCAACAAGAGATAATCTGGATTCGCCGTCGAAGCTGGCGAGCATGTCCCGAAAAACCTCGATTTGGATGTTGGGGAAGATTGCAGCAAGCGCGTCGAGGCAAGAATTGAGTTCCCTTAGGTCGGGCCGTTCTGGTTCGAGTATCAGGTGACCTTCGTCCACGGTGTACCCAGAAGTGGCGACAGCCGTCTCCTCCAAGCTCAACGTCATCGAGAGTGAGGAGGTGCTCTCGGACGGCGCCATGCTCGACCTCCCGCCGGTCTCCACTGAGGAAGCACCGAGCAGGTCTGCGAACCCCATGACGTACGGTCTACCGGTGCGTCCTGTTTTGATAGTACCATACTGTGTGTTCGATTTATTCCGGTAATGCGCTATCGATACGTCCCGCGGTGATGTTTGAGCATGTTGACGTCGGTCGGTTGCTAGGTAAGCCCCAGATGTTTGTTGGAGGTTAAGATTCCGTCGGGGTTTAATTCATGACTAAGTTTATGGGTCTGTGCGGCTTGCCGGTCTCCATGTGAATGGCGCTTGGCGCCAAGCCCAGACCACCCACAGCGTACTGGCAGGTACCGAGGAAGGAAGGTTATCAGGCCTTGCAAGCCAACAATCACCACAGCTCTCTCAACACTACAAAACACGTTGATTTTGATCAATTCAGCAGCATTTAAATCGCTAAATCTAACTACATTCAGATCGCTGAGTTTAACGCGTTTGAACAGCTCCATTTCAGTAGGTTTGAATCGCGTAATTGACCAAGTTGCTTCCCTTGGTTGAGGCCGACAGCGAGCTTGGTGCCATGGAAGTTGTCATTCACTTTTGAAACCGGGGAACTCCAAGGTACAGGGAACTCCAGGGTACTTTCGTACCTAAGGTACCTTGGTCGACGAAACCTTCGACCAGAGGAACGAAAAGAAAGCCATTCGGAAGCCACTACTTTCTACTTTGATTCATTTTATCTAATTTATCTTGCTCGGTTTCCGTTACCTCCTTTTCTTTTCTTGGTTTCTTTTACTTCTGTCTCTTTTCTTGATTTTTTTGGTCCCTTTTGGAATTCGACTTTAGCCAGAGGGATGCTGACTGTAACTCGGGACCAAACTGCCTAGGTACCTAACATGAGTTCACCGTTGCCACATTTCCTTGGACGCCGGGCTGCACTGCTGCAAGGCAATAGTTACCGCCACCGTCACTCTCAAAATGTGTCAGCTCGTATCTCATAAAAGGCTCCATCATATCTCAGATTCGAGGATGCATGTCTGGGTTCTTTGTTTCCGCTGGAGACAAGCCCGACGTTAGCCTCAGCAGCGACAGGAGTTACAACTTACATCATTGCATGCATGAGCCTTCATGCGGATGCTTCGTATGTTCGCCTTCAACCTTCAACTTTCAACATTCAACATTCGGGAATGCACCAGCCTCGCCCCCAGCTGACTCGTTTCTTCTTCTGGCCGACCGTCCGAATTTGGCAAGCTTCCACGTCCCCGACCGAGTATCGGCAACCGGTGGCGGGGATGGCGAGCTTGAGCTTCCCAGTCGGTGTAAAAGATGCGACGCGTGCCTGACCCGGCGAATGGAGAAAGCAAGCCAGTAAGACATCAACTGCGTCCAATGCCCGTTGGTGTTGCGCAAATCGACACCTCTCGGCATGCGGGGCATGAACTATCTTTCTGTCGGGTGCGCTGCCCGCCTTTTGGGGAAATTGTGTTCCTTCTCCGCCATTCGACTCGGGCACCTCTCTCTCTCTCCGTGACCTAACTAGATGGTTTCAGTTGTTCTTTTGAGTGCTACCCGAGGGCTTTCTCAGCAGCTGATGGAACCAGATCACCGAGTTCTCCCGTCGGGCGTACTCACAGCCGGGAGTAAAAGAGCCGCCTTGACAGCTGTGCAGTCGGTCTCTCGTCAGCTCGCCTGCACTGCTTACACAGTCCACCGACCTGGAAACCTTCTGGAAGCAACGACCCCCCCGTTAACTCAGATCCGCGATCAGACGGCGGGTGATCACAGCTCACACCCACATCGGCGCCTCTTCACGTGCTGCCCAGGCACAGCAGGAGTCAAGTCGACATGTTCATTCCTAATTTGTATGCACACCGAGTCGATGAGTCGATCGCAGAAAAGGCGGCCAGCGGCGCGTTGCATCCGTCACACCTCCTTTCCGTCACACGGGGGCGGGCCCGTTGCTGCTCACCGCCCACCGCCAGTCCGCTCTTTCGGGACCCAGCGGTCCGCACTTCGTCGCTGGGAATCCACCCGGACCCAGCAATTCCATGTGGCCCTGTCGTGGCTTGCAGATGTGCTCGAGCGGCGGGCCCTGTAACTGGCCGCTAATGCACCTGCTCCCCTGTTTCTCCGGGAGGCCTGGCCCTGAACGGGACCAGCGGTCGTGTGTGTCGTGGTCTGCCCCCCCTGGCCTGTCTTGAGCTCACCGACTTCTTGCCCCTCTGTAGATTTTTCGGTGTCGGTGCGGTGCCTCTTTTGCCTCGTTTCTTGGGTTCCCGATGCACCGCCAACGTGCCAGCGTGCCAAACTGCCCAACTAACGCAAGGGGCAGCGGGGCTCCAGGGCACGATTTTCAGGTTCTGCATGCCTGTCTCCCCGGCAAAAGCTGATGGTCGGCGCTGTCACAGCCGAGTGATTGGTCGAAGTCTTTGTCAGACGCAAAAACGCAAGCTCTGCTTGGCGGTGTATAAGTCGGTCTTCTCGCCCATCGATCGTCCCATGTACCTACATATCCCACCCATACTTTATTTCAGTCTTCACGTCGGTTCCTGCCGTCTGTCCTGCAGCTCCTCGATCCGATGGGCGCAGCTGATCGTCTTTGGCTATTGGTGGTTCTCGTCGTGCCAGTATGGACTCCCTTCCCGTCGAGCTGGTCCAACTCGTCTATCAATACTGCGATGGCCCGTCTGTAAGAGCCCTCCGTCTAGCGTCGGGCAGGTATGCCGACGTAGGCTACGAATACCTTATCGAGCCGCACTTCAACGCCGTCGAGTGGCGAGACGACATCTCGCGCCTGCGCTCCATCGCCGGCCACGACCGTCTCCGCGGCAGCATCCGGTCCCTCACCTTCAACTTCACCAAAGTCGACGAGTACACCGCCCGCCACACCTCCTTCTTCCAGCACTACTTTGAGGAGTCCGAAGAGCGCAATGCGCTTCTCCAAGATGCCTGGGTCCGGTACTACGAGCTGGAAGAGACCGCCCGCAAGCTCCCGCCCTTCCACTCCCGCTCCACCACCGTCGAGGAGGCCTTCAAGCGGCTGCCGAACCTCAAAGACCTCGAGATCACCCTCACGAAATGCCCCTATGACATCCCCCTCCTCCAGGAAGTCTTCCAGGCCGGCATCGGCCGCAAGCCCGACCGCAACCAGGTCTGCAAAAACATGAACGCCATCGTCTCGGCGATCCGCCACATGCGCCTGTCCTCGCTCTCCATCGACCAGCTCCCGCTCGAGATCTTCCGCCTGGCCAACGACCGCCGCCACTGGTTCGACTGCGCGCGCTCCTTCTCCAGCCTGTCCCGCCTGAGCCTGGTCCTCGACACGCCCGCCAATCTGCTGCCCTCGGCACGGCACCGCGCCATCAACGGCCTCGGCGGCGTGCTGCACTACAGCGTCAACCTGACCCACCTCAGCCTCGCCTTCCACAACTACCACTCACCAATGCAAAAATTCCACCTCTCCTTCGCCGCACTCTTCCCCGGCGGCGGCTGCGGCGGCGCCCCCGAGTTCACCTACGCCAAGCTGACCGACCTCAAGCTCGAGGGCATCAGCTGCAGCGAGGCCGACCTCAAGAGCTTCATCCTCCGGCACGGCGCGACGCTGGAGCGGCTCCGGCTCGGCGGGCGCGGCCTGGCCAAGCCCGACGAGTGTAGCATGGGCGGCGTGCACCTGCACGAGGGCTCCTTCCGCGGCCTCTTCTCCGGCCTGCGCGGCAAGATGCCCCGCCTCGGCCGCTTCCACATGGAGGGCGACGCCGCTGCGGGTGACTACATGGCTAGCTCGCGTGAGGTGTATTTGTTCAGCCCCGTGACGGATGATGAGTGGGAGCCTATCGTGTTGGGGGGGGAAGGAGGAGCAGCGCGCGGAACGCCGGGAGGGGCTGGCGGCGTGCGTTAAGACGGTGAATTGCTTGGGGCTGGAGAAGTTTTTGGTGGATGGGGGGGAGTATCCGAGGTTGGGGAGGGAGGTGGTGGCAAGTTAGTGGTGCTGCTTTCCTTCCCCCCGTTGGCGGCGGTCATCGTGATTTTCCAAAAGGCATATACGACATAATCAATCTTGCAACAACATCAACAACAACATACACGACACGGATGTAAATATCACGACTCACGACTCTTACGACGCTTTTCAGTTCAGCAACACATTAGATTTGGGGTTACGGCTTTTTTTTTTTTTTTAAACGGTGTCGGGCGCAATATTAGATAGAATGCAAGCAATTGTCGGTAGACATAAATAGCATCCATCCTCTTAGTAGAATTCTATTTCTCTCTTCAACCTTCCAAACTTCCCTGTGCCATGAACAGCTGCCAATCTCGGATCACTCACAGATGGAGAGACAGTCTCGCAATGGAGGTCACCCCCGGCGGTCTCAGACTGCCATCATCTCCGGCGTGGTACGGGCGGCGCACCACGTTACCCCTCTTGTCTCCGAGGTTACCTCACACTGAACTGAGAGCAAAGATAACGCCGAAAGCTCGGCCGACTCGAGTCCCCCAACCGGATGACAAGTCCAAGTCTCAACAAGTTTCAACACTTACACAAGACAAAACTAGCGCCGCCGGGCCTCTCGCATGCATACATATAATGACAATATAGAAATGCACGGTGCTTAGAGAGAGAGAAGTGTGTGGGCCCCCCAGCTCGAACAGCATACATATACTGATCTGTACTATTACATTGCGCGCCCGGCGCAACCAAACAAAAAAAGGACGATACAAATCGGCAACGGCAACGGCACGGCGTAGTGCAACGGCCCAACGGTCGGCGGACGGCACGACGCGGGACCATGCCACACAATACTACACTGCACCGCACCACCACACCACACAAGCACAGCCGTGCGTTAGCCTCGTCCGGGGGGGGCCAAAGTCTCACACTTCACTACACTCGACATACGTAATGATAGGAGGGGCGGAGGCTCGGAGGCTCGGCGAGTGTGGAACGTAGGGCAGTAACTAACTAACTGGTTGTTTGTTTGTCTGGCTTGCAACGCGATATGCCGGTAGTTGCGGGGGCTGGTGTCACGTATGGTGTTGCCTGTCTATCTACCTGCCTACCTATCTCTAGGTTGCTGTTCATGGCTTGAATCGTCGGTGAGACAAGGGGGGGCGGAGATGTGATAAAATCCCCAAGAGCTGAACTTGATGAGACTCGGATGCCGCACTTCGCCGTCAGGGGGGTGGGTGATGTGTAGAGTGTAGAGTGCGGCTGTCGGGTCTGTTCCATTGCAGCGCGGCAACAGCTCTGATGGTTACCTGGCTGCTTAGGTAGGTAGGTATTCGTAGGTTGGTTTCAAAAACATGTCCGCAGACTTTCTGGCCTCTCGAGCCGGCCGCAGCTCACAGACGCAGGTCAGCACCCAACAAGCCAACCACGATTGAGAACCGATTGGGGGCTTGCGTGGTGAGACGACGGCTCGACGGATTCCTTGCGGGGAGGAGGAAAAGAAAGAAAACCTGCCTCGGAGAAGGCAGTCACCGAGAAAGAGAGGGGCGAAAAAGCAAGGCGGTGTTCCAAGCAAGCTGACGAGCGTCTCATCGAGCCATCGTTGTCTGCGTTTGTTGGTTGGACAAGCGCAACAACAGGCGGCTGGACTTGCCTTGTCAGCTTGTGTCTTCAATCACGTCTTTGATCTTGATTTCTTTTTCGTCACATGTGCAAGAGCACCGTCGAGTCTCGGAGATTTGTTGGTTACGAAATAGCTACTTGTTGGCCTTCCCATGTTGGGTTCTTGCATGAGAAATGAGAAGGACCGATCAGCTGGTCGCTGGATGGTAGATCTCTCCAACATGGAGGGGCGAGTCAAAGCGGGTGTTGCTGTGGCTTGGAAGTAAGAATGGAAGTTATCCCTTTGGTGCACTTTTTGGTGTTGCTGTTGTGAGTATGATTGGCACATGCATGTTGCACCTGCATCAAGTGCCTGTCCCATGCACCCAACATGCGCCTGTCCGAGACACTCGGGCAATGCTGGTCACTGGGTATCTCTTTTTTACCTCCGTGGAAATTGGTGATAAGCTCTGTATGTTGTAGTAAAATTAATAAAAAAACCGGCGTGACCGGGTGGTACAATAAGAATTGGTATCGGTCGGCTGATCGATGCTGAAGGATGAGCAGGTCGGCGATGAGAAATGGGAGAGCACATGACGCCATGGATCGCTGGAAGGGCCTGGCTCGCCAGCTCACCTGTGCTCGGGCCTGGCTCTCGGTGGGTTCGGCTAGCAGCCGGGGTGGACCTGACTCGAAAACGGTATTGCATGAACCAGGCCAGGGCCAGGACCAGGTGTGGGGATTTCGGTACCTGTTCTGCGCTTGAACTACCGGGCTCGCAGGCCGTGATCGAGTGAGGCTCTTAGGTTGTTGCTTGAGCCATCTCCTTAGACAGGGCGGGAGAAAATCTAGGTACCCAGGGATGTATCTATCTTACCTATGTACCTCATTAGGTACATCCATATCACAAACAGGCATACCCGGATTGTTCTCGGTTGGCCCGGGTCAGCAGCAGCGACAGTGCTTATTGCTTTGATGATATTCTCTGGAAGCCCTGCAGCAAAACTCTTCCCTTAGCCGGTGGAGAAACGAAAGAATGCGCTGGGATCGATCGTATCCAGGGATCTGGACTGCTTTATCGCAGCTGAGCGAGGCTGAGTAAAGCAGAGGTTGTCGATCAAAGAAACTGTTGGAGCCACGCTAGGCCGGGAGCTCGGATCGTTGGTTTTTATTTTATTTTATTTTATTTAACTAACTAGTTATTTATTTATTTTGTTCTTATTCATGTGGTAAGTTACTTGCATTCATCCCAACCTCGGCTTTGTTGGCCAGAACTTCGACTCCCGATTGCATCATCCATCCATCCACTTCCTGCTTCTGCCTGCCCTTCATCCTGCGGCCGTCTCGACGCCCCTTTGTTCTCTCCCTACCTAGCTCCCATGTAAATACCCTCCGGGCGGCGCAAACTCGGAAAACCCAGCGCTGCTGTGGCTTCTGATCGACAGCTGGATCGTGCGGACCGGCCCCGACGGCGCTGGGATCGTCTCCTTACCCATGTCAATGGCCTTGACTATGGGCCCATCTTCGCCGCCCTTCGCATATTAACTATCAATTTTTGCACAATCAATTGATGTCAGGCACAGAAGGGAGCTGCACACCATCAAATCAAGAATACCACACTACCCAACCACTCAACCCGGGGGCGGAAAGAGTTGCGGGTCCCCACTGTCCTGCGCTGTAACCGTGAAGGCCCATCGTCATTGCCGTGCAGGAGCGCAGCAGCACCTGAACACCCAACGACCTTGCGAGTGGGCGAAAGTGGGCGAACCGCGAAACAAAACGCTCGGTCCAGGCACAGAGACCCCCCTGTCAGGTCGGCTCTGGGCTTGCTTTTTAGCTGGCGCTGTTGGGCTGTTTGCGCGGGATCGCCGGCGGTGCCCACGTCACTAGTCAACCTTTCCAGTGGCCTGGTTCGGCTTGGTTCGGGGGAGTGCCCCAGGCCCTTGATTGAAAACAGCGAGGGCGCCCTGTTTGCCGCCTTCCCCCCCACCCTCCTCCCTTCCTTCGACTGCAACGGCCCAATTTGTTCGTGACGGAACATCACACACACACAGCGTGGGCTTGGTGAGAACAGCTGCTCGCGGCGCCGGGCGGTCGACTCACCATGCATCGCGTCTCGGCTCTGCTCCCCTCGTGGGACCGGTCGAGATTCAGTTCCCCCGTACCCCCCGTACCCCCCGTTCCTACGAATACCACCAACAAGACCAACACCGCCAACAGCCCCGCACCAGCGCCACCCAAGGCACCCGGTGCCCTGACTAAGGTCTTTGGGTGGGCCGAGAAGATCGTGCCCGCCACTCGAATCAGCATCTCGACGGCACCCACCGCGCCCACCCGCTACGGCCGAGAAACTTATTGGCCGACGAGCCTCGACAAGGAATGCGACAAGGCCGCAAGGATCATCAAGTCATTTTGCTGTAGGTCTCGGTGTTTGGGAGGGTGGTGTGTCTTGGAATTGGGCTAACGGAGACGCAGTTGACGGCTTCCTTTCGCAGGAATTCGACGGGACGGATGAGACCGATCAGGACAACCAGGCCAACCAAACCGAGCAGACCGAGCAAATCAAGGAGAATACAGCAGAGCCGAAACCAACACCAAAATACGTCACAAAAAAGATCCCTCCGCGAATAATACAAAATGCCGTCGGCCTCGCAGTCTTCTCCTGCATGCGGTCCGGCCTCTGGATGTCGGGTTCCGGAGGCGCGGGCCTGATCACGGCACGCAAAGCCGACGGGACATGGTCACCACCCTCTGCGATCATACTACACACGGCGGAACTGGCTTTCGAAATGGGCGTCGATATCTACGACTGCGTATTGGTAATCAACAGCGTACAGACCCTCGAGCTCTTCACCCGCCCGAGGTTAGTTCTAGGAGCCGATGTCAGCCTGGACGTGGGGCCGCTCCTTGTGGCCGGAGCACAGGACCCCGAGATCAAGTGGAAGGAGATCAGCGAGACCGTCTTGACCTATGTGAAGGCTAGAGGAAAGCATCAGGCAGTGCGGTTGGACGGGTCCATGGTGACGGAGCGCGTCAACGAGAATGAGAAGTTCTACTGCGCCGGTGTCACCATTCTCGACATTCTCGCGGGTAACATTCCTAAGAACGTACCTCAGATGCGACCCCTGTTTGAGGTCATCAAGGCCGCCGAGGGCCGCTCCGACTACGATAAGGTGTTGATGGACTGGCTCGCGCAGCAGCCCGCGCCCGGTGATGCCGATATCGAGAGCCCAAGGGAGTCCATTGCGTCCATCACCTCGCCGACCAAGCTAGCATTTGGCGTACCAGACGCCAACGATCCGGATCCGTTCGGTGTCATCGGCCTAGAGATGGCGGGCATTGAAATTCGAGAGGCCGGCTCCAAGCTCCGGCCTGTAAGCACGCAGTTCGAGTACCAGCCGAGCCCCAGCAGCCCGTTGTATGGGAGGTTCAGCCGCCAGAGCATGGATACGTTCGTCTCGAGAAGCAACCGAGGCAGCTGCATGTCAGCGCGGACACAGGCGACCACGTTGACGGATGCGTGCACTCAAACGGATGTGGCGAGCACCACTTTCAGCCGGCCTAACAGCGACGATGGAAAAGACGTTGTTGAGAGGCTGCCCACGGTTGTGGAACCCGAGGAAGTGGACTACACCCAAGTCGACACGAGCGTTATTGAGAAACTGAAGCGGAGGACGATTGAGCCAGTCGCGCCCGTACCAGCTGCACCCGAACCAGTCCAGGCTATCGAAACGAAGGAGATCAAGGTTACAGACACCATTACCACTACAAAGGTCAAGACTACGGACGAGAAAACCGCCGAGGTAATCAGCCAGACCGTTACTCCGCCCACTCCAATCGAGGGCCCGAGCCCCAAGGCCGCCGAAGAACAGGACGAGGACGCCGATGACGAAGACGACGACGATGAGGAAGACGAGCCCGTCGTCTGTGAGGTCGCAACTGCCTCGGCACAACCAGCCCGGACTTCTATCCAGCGATCCCAAGTCACCCACGTAATTCAAGCCAAGGGTGCGATTGTGACCATCCCGAAGCGAGTACCACCTCCCCTCCCCGCGCGGAGTCCCGCTCGCGCATCCAGAGGAAGCAGGAGCGAGTACGGCGACGTCTCATCTTTGAGGAGCCCCATTCGGAACTCCTTTTTGTCCATCGAGTCACGAGCCGAGAGTAACAGAACCTCCCTCGACGAGACAATCACCACGCAAGAACCCACCCACCCCGAAACTGACCAAGGCTCGCCCACGCACACGCAACGCCCCGCCAGCCCCCGACACACCAAGAACACATCCTCGGTCTGCACCGCTGTGGCGGTCAACACCGCCTCCCCATCTCGGCTGAGCTCAGGTTCAAGTTCCAGCCCTAACCAAGACCTCAACGCCTCGCCGTCTTCCGCAGTCCCCCCGACCCCACAGACCCTTGAACCCACCTCCTCCGTCGAAGGCGATTCGGAGAAAGAGCCCACGACGCCGCAGACAGCCGAGACAGATTTCGATACCGCCTCCGAGCATCACATCGACGCCAAGTCCCTAGGTGAGACCAAGGCTCACGGTAGCGAGGGGGTGAGGATTGTTTCGGCCACGACGACACCTGTGGGGAGTGCTAGCGAGCGCGAGCGGGAGGCTGCCACAATACCAGTTGCATGAAGTCATTCATCTCATCAAGAAAAAAAAGTGCAGGGTGGACAAACACAAATATTACGGGTATGAGTTTCTTTTTGGATACGGAACGAGAAGAAGCATGAAGTATTTCTCCCATCTTTTGGACTGCCATGATGATCAAGGATCAAAAGCCAGCATGGCTTCACGAAACGCAGACGGTTTACGGTGGGGATTACACCACCCAGGTTTTATTTCGTTTGGGAAAGGTTGGGGTTCAATCGGCCGGCGTTTCTTTGCAGGGGCTCGCTGTCGCCCCTCGAAACTGTTCCAGTAACAGCAAAACTACTGTCTGTCTCGCGCAGCCTAATGGTTTTTTGTTTTGGGCGGATGACGATCGGAGACGGGAAGGATCATGGGGCTATATTAGCTAGAGGAAGCACAGATTATGATACCCATCCAAATGGAATGACGACAGTTACAATCACTAAAAGAGAGGCTTGTCTAGAACGTGGTGATCCAGCAAACCACCTCCGTTTAGTGCTTCGGTAAAGGACAGCCAAAGTTATTAATAATAAAGTAAATAGATGAACTCAGTATTCAAATTGTGACCAGTCTAACAAGCAATGCTAACCTCCCCTAATTATACATCTCAAAACCGATCAATCCCTGATACCCAATCCTCAGCCCTACCACGGGTTCATGCAATAGTAGAGCACCATCGCCTGCACCAACGACTCCCAGTCCCCCCTTTCTTTCCCTTCCCCACCGCCCCCTCCATCCCCCCTCGCACCACCCCACGCCCCTTCACCACCCTCACTCCGACCACCACCACCACTACCAAAACCAGCCCCCTAAACCAACTCAGCAGCAGCGCCCCCAATCGCCAACTTCCCCGTCTCCTTGACGCGCGTCTGGAAGACGACCTTCTTCCCGCCATCCTCCTTCCACATCTCGGTGACCAGCGTCTGGCCGGGGTTGACGGTGCCCGCGAAGCGCACCTTGATGTTCTTGAAGGCGCCAAACTTCTCGTAGACGGCCTTGCCGGCGAAGCCGAAGAAGCACAGGCCGTGGAGGATGGGCTGCTTGAAGCCGCCCATCTTGGCGAAGGAGGGGTCGACGTGGAGGGGGCTGTTTTTTGCGTGTTAGTGTCATTTTATTTGGGGAGGGGGGGAAGGGGATGATGGGGGCGCTTACTTGTAGTCGCCGCTCAGGCGGTACACGGCGGCCTGCTCTTCGGTGGTCTTCTCCTCAACGACGGCGTCGGGGGCGCGGGCGGGGGGCTTGTTGGCAGCCGTGCTGGCGCCGCGGTCGGCGGGCTTCTTTTGCCCGCCGAAACCGCCGCAGCCGCGGAGGAAGACGGTCATCTCGTTGTAGAAGACGTCCTCACCCGTCTCGGCGTTGACCGTGGTCACGCCCGACTTGACGATGGCGGCGTTGCCCTTGTCGACGACCTCGAGCAGCTTGGCCTTCGAGATCAGGCGGCCCGAGGTGGGGACCGGGTACTTCCTGACTTCGAGATACTGCTCGCCGTGGAGGAGCATCATGGGGGAGAAGTTGGGGACGAGGTCATCGAGGTTGTAGGGGGTTTCGGCGTCAAAGGGCGGGATCACGCCGAAAGTGGGGATGACTTGGAAGTCATCGTGACCCTCGCTGGATGCTTATTAGTTGTGCGCAAGGAAGTAAGAGGTCAGTGGGCATACAAGATGTAGCGCAGATCGGTCCGTTTGGCACCGATGCCGATATTGTACAGCATCGCGTCGCGCTCAGTGAACTTGAACTCGGTTCCCTTGCCCTCGGCCTTCAGCGCCTGCTGGATGGCATCGAGATACTGGTTCCCACCGGCGCTCTACGGAGACGGACGCGTTAACATATCATGTATTCTACATAGGATATTTCATAATGCTATTGTACATAGATGAAGCGGAAGAACTAGCGGATAGAAAGCAGATCATACCTTTCCTTCGCCGCTCCGGTTCTCCATGTTGGCCATGATCTTCTGCAGACTGTCTTGCGTCTTCTCGGGGTGGTCAGCCCGGCTATCGAAGGTGACGATAGGCTCCCAGTTCTTGACGACCGCCTCAGGGGTCAGCGGCACGTCGACGGGGAAGCCGTGGCCGCCGGTACGCTGCCACCTCGTCTGGCCAACCCAGCCGCTGCCGACCTCGTACAGACCGCCCGTCGGGTTGGGCAGCTTGTCGCTGCTGAGAGCGAGCACCAGAGGAGCGATGTACTCGGGCTTGAAGGCCTGTACGAGTTCCTCGGGAAGGATGGTCTTGGTCATGGCCGTGCCTGCATTAGGGGCGATGGTGTTGACGAAGATGTTGTACTTAGCACCCTCGAGTGCGAGGGCACGCGAGAAGCCGAGAATGGCACATTTCTGTCCGAGTTAGCGGCTGCTCTGCCCTCTTCCTAATTATCTTTTCCGACTTACCGCCGCAGCGTAGTTGGCCTGTCCAAAGTTGCCGTAGATACCGCTGGTCGAGGTAGTGTTGACAACACGGCCGTACTTCTGCTTCAGGAAGTAAGGCCAAGCAGCTTTAGTGACCTTGTAGGTGCCGCGGGCGTGCACATTCATGACGGGGTCCCACAGGTTGTCATCCATGTTCGTGAAAGCCTTGTCCCTGAGGATACCAGCGTTGTTGATAACAATATCAATCCGGCCGAAAGCATCGATGGCGGTCTTGACGACCGCGTCACCGTCTTCGGCCGAGAACTTGGCACCCACGGCCTTGCCGCCCAGCTTCTTGATCTCGTTGACGACGTCGTCGGGGTTCACGAGGTCGTTGACGACGACAGCAGCGCCAGCCTTGGCAAAAGCCAAGCAGTAGGCACGGCCGATGCCCGCACCGCCGCCGGTGACGAGAGCGACCCGGCCAGTGAAATCAATCTTCTCGCCCTGCTCGTTGCGGCCGAGCTTTTGAGAGTCCTCGAGAAGGGTTACGAAGTCGTTGGGACCGCTGGGATACTGCGGGTTGGAGAAGTCGGTCACGCGATCCCACTTCTTGATGAGAGCGCTGGGAGTGTAGCTGTCGTCGCACTTGCACAGCAGACCAGAGGACCGCTCCCATCGGAGCTTGGCGATGTGGCCGCCGCCAACTTCGAAGATGGAGCCGGACTCGGACGTGTTGTTCTTGTGCACCAGCACGGCCACGAGCGGCACGACCCACTCAGGCTTCATGAGGGCCAAGACATCCGGCGGCATGATGGTCTCGGTCATACGGCTAGCGGCCACAGGGGCGATGACGTTGGCGACAATGTTGTACTTGGCGCCCTCCTTGGCGAGAGTCTCGGTGAAGCCAACCATGGCGAGCTTGGCAGCCGAGTAGTTGGCCTGGCCGAAGTTGCCGAACAGGCCGGCGGCCGAGGCCGTGTTGATGACGCGACCGTACTTTTGCTTGCGGAAGTAGGGCCAGGCGGCGCGGGAGCACTTGTAGCTGCCCTTGACGTGGACCTTGAAGATCAGGTCCCAGTCCTGGTCCTTCATGTTCTTGAAGCTGATGTCGCGCAGAATACCGGCATTGTTGATGAGGATGTCGATGCGGCCGTAGGCCTTGATAGCCGTCTCGATAATCTTGTCACCATTCTCTACACTGTCGTAGTTGGCGACGGCCTTGCCGCCGGCAGCCTTGATCTCGTTGACGACGACATCAGCGGCCTAGACCTGTCAGCTACACGAACGAGAGAGGCGCGTGCCTGGGCGCGTGAACATAATGGGACTGACTGACCTTAGAGTCGTTACCTTCGCCCTTGAATGACCCGCCGAGATCGTTTACTACGACGCTAGCACCGCGCGATGCAAAAAAGGTGGCATAGGCCTTGCCGAGACCGCCGCCCGCGCCGGTGACGACAACGACCTGGCCGTCGAATCGCAATTGGTCCGACATGTCGAGTATGTGATGTGTGTTTGGAAATGGGGACGGAACGGCTAGAACAAAAAAAGAGGAAAACAACAAAATTGAGAGTTTCGCAGTAAAGCAAACTACTCGAGAGATTGATTCGGGAAGAAGCACGGCGGGATTGGGAGTTGCGAGCCGGAAACGTTGCAGTTTCTATAAGCAGCGCCCTTGACGTATTGTCCGTCGGCAAGCGGTGTCAGTGCTGAGCTGCCGGCGTGTTAAGCCGAGGCAATACGGCTGTCGCTTGCTGGCACATTCCATCCCCACTGTTAGCCACCGTTGCCGAGAGTGGGGATGTGGCCTCGCGGCAGGGCCTTTTTCACATGCAACTCGCCCCGGCCGTCATCCCGGTCAACTTCTAGCCAATCAGCCAAGCTCAACTTCGCGGGTGACCTTTTCCAAACGACTTCGCCGGTTGAACGTTTTGGGGCGCGAAGAGACATGATACCGGAGGCATGGGTCATTGTGCTATCAGTATGAAACAGTTGAGAATTTAATGTGCAGCGGAACCAAATAATACCAAGTCTTACAATCAGGATAGGCCGAAAAGTAACATGGGCCCAACTTTCGAGGCACCAGATCGATATTCAAGAGGAGTTGCCGAACTTCTCCAAGCCGAGGCCAGGTCTAGCATCATCCATCCTCAAGGGCCTAGGATCTGACACTTGCCTCAAGCTTGAGACGAGAGGTAACCTTGGAAGCATCCCTTGGGATGGATAGTCTGATGGGAAACCATCCAGATCAAATCACTCTCTAATCCAATAACTATGAAACTGAAAACATTTTTGCATTCTCTGGTCATTTCGTCCAAGTCAGAACAAGTTCCATGCCCTGCATTTGACAGCTCCCCCACAATTGCGCTTCCCCACGACCCCAATTGATGCACCCCGCATCGCCGCGCCAAGATGGCCGTTCTGTCGTCATCGCACTCCCTAACATCCATCACCCGCATTTGGTCGTAGCCATGATAATATGTCTGGAATGACAGTCTCGATTTAGTTATGCTTGACTGTCCAACTACGGCGCCCCGAATGATAATCTTGGACAGCTAGCCAGGATTAAGCTGATCAATATGGAAACCCCAGACCCACCTCTCCAGTCTCGCGTGGTCGACGACAAGTCGCCCATCTGCATCCCCTTCATCCTCTCTCGCATAGAGGAGTACAAGAAACAGCATGTCGGAGAGGAAAACCCGCGGCCGTTTATTGTAGGGCTAAATGGGGTCCAAGGGGTAGGCAAGACCACCCTCGTGCGCGCCCTGGCCGAGACGCTGCAGGATCGCGCCGGGTTGCCCACCTTGGTTGTGAGCATCGACGACTTCTACCTTACACACGCAGACCAGCTCGCGTTAGCGGCGGCGCATCCCGACAACGCGCTGGTGCAGTATCGCGGCGAGCCAGGTTTGTCGTCCCAACTCCCATTCCACCACCAACCAACCCGCTAACCACCCTCCCCTTCCCACCCCCCAGGAACGCACGACATCCCCCTCCTCACCAACTTCCTCACGGCCCTCACCACCAACAAGCCCACCCCCATCCCCCAATACGACAAATCCGCCTTCTCCGGTCTCGGCGACCGGCTATCCCCCTCCAGCTGGCCCCTCACCTCCGCCACCTCCCCCCCGCGCGTCATAATCCTCGAAGGGTGGTGCATCGGCTTCCGCCCCCTCCCCACCTCCCAGCTAACCCACCAATGGCGGCAGCCGTCCCGCACGCTCCACCAACACAAACTCGAGCACCTGCAGTGGGTGAACAGCCAACTGGCGGCGTACTGGAACCTGCTGAGCACGGCGCTGGACGCGTTCGTGCACATCGACGCCGAGGACACCGAGTATGTGTACGGGTGGCGGGCCGAGCAGGAGGCGCAGCTGCGGCGGGAGCGGGGGAGCGTGATGGGGGAGGAGCAGGTGCGGCGGTTTGTGGACGCGTATTATCCGGCGTACGAGCTGTATACGGAGGGGGTGCGGCGCGGGGTGTTTGCGGGGGTGGAGGGGAGAGAGGGGTGTCAGTTGAGGATTGTGGTCGGGAGGGATCGGGGTGTGGTGGAGAGTATGGTTATTTAGAGTCTGGGTGTTGAGAGGAGGGGGGAAGGGGGTGATGGTTGGGGTGGTGGGTTAGAAGGGGACTGGTTTGGAAAGAGAAATAAAGGTATATATATAATCGTGGTGTTTTAGCTCGTGAAGAAAGGACAATCTACCGGATATAACTGCCTAGATACCCACCCATCTATATATCAATGAATCCCCCATCGCACGCCTGCTATGTAAGAAGGCAGCCAGCCGTGGCTTGGGGAATTGGGAGGCTATTGTCCGCTTGCCCATGTCCACCTCGCTGTATCTCGTTTTGTCGTAAAGTCGTTAAAACATACCGTTAAGTCGTTAGTCATGTCGTTGGTCATTGAAGTTTTGGTCTTGTTCGTTAGGTCGTTAATCATAAGTCCAGCCGGTTGAGACGAAATAAGAAAACAGAAACAGAAATAGCCACAACACCGCACCAGAGCTGCGAGCAAACTCGTTCGTATACATCCCCTACCACGAAATCAACATGCCACCCAACCCTGTCCGCTCCCGCATTACCGCTTCCCCTCGGGCTGGCTTCTGGCCTTTGGGCTCCAACAACGCTCTACACCCCCGTCCCCTCCATCCTGCATTCACATCCACTCAAAACTCGATGTCCACATCCTTCCCCTCCATCATCGTCTGGCCCTCCTGCCTAAGGTCCTCGAGGGTGCGCCCGATCCCCTCAATCTTCCCGCGCACAGCTTCCTCGCGCGTGGCGACCTCATCCTCAAACTGCTGCACTAGCCGACGCTTCGTCCTGCGCGCCTGTTTCAGCCGCAGCATGATGTCGCCGAAGCGCGCCAGGAACCAGTCGCCCGCCTCGTCCCACTCGTCCACATTAATCCTCGCAAAGAACTCGTGTTGGTCCATGCTGCCTTTTTTCTTGTAGTGCTCTAACCGCTCCTCGATGCTGCCTCCCGCGGGTGGGGCCGATGTTTGTTGCAGCGCGGCTGTCTGTGGGTCAAAGTCGAAGGCTTGGCCGCGAAGGTCCGAGTAGCTCATGGCGTGCAGCTCGGCGTCGTTGTAATCAAGACTTTGGCGGCGCTTTCGAGAGGTGGTCGGGGCCGGGGCTAGTTCTTTGGTTGGTGATTTTTGCCGGCGGCTGTTCGTCCGGCTGAGGTTGAGGGGGGGAGGTGCCCCGCTGAGGATGTTGGTTTGCTGTGCGAAGAGCTGTTTCTGTTGATATTGCGGCTGGCGGTTTGCTCGCGGTGTGCGTTGGAGGGCTTCTTTAAGCGCCTCCGCGTCGAGGGTGGAGCTCGGTGAGGCAACGGCGGCCTTGGTGTTGTCGAAATCGGGATCGTCGAAGTTGAGGGGAGTCAAGTTTTCGAATACCGTGGACCGCTTGTGCTCGGCTTCACGTTCCTGCTCGCGTTGTCGTTCCCTCTCCCGTTCTATTTCCCGGTCGCGCTCTCGTTGCCTCTCGCGTTCGCGTGACATACGCTCCTGGAACCTGATCTTGTCGATATGGCCACCCGCCTCTGCCTGTCTCTCGGGCGACAGGCTTACGCTCTGTGACCCTGGTGAATACGTCGGTCCCCCTCGCTCCGAGGATGCATTGCTCTTAATCTCGCGGTTATCTCGGTATGCCAGCCTGGTGCGCCTCAGCCCGCTGGCTTTGGTGGGCGTCTCGAAAATCTGACGACCTTCATGGTATGCGTCGTCCTGCCTGACACTCTGGTCGTCGAAGATGCCTCCGGAAGTGGCGTTGGTGGTGGCTAAAGGAGCTGTTTCCGGTGCTTTTTGGGTATTGGGTGCCGGGATGACCTTGAGCACGCCGTTCTCGCCAATGACGAACGGCAGATTCTCGTCGTGTTTGGGCTGGGCGCGCGTGGGCGGGGCGGGAAGTGCCCGCTGCGGCGGACCATCGCTGTAATGGCGGCCATGTCCCTGGGGCACACGTAACCTCTCCGAGGGAGCCCTGGATGGAGCCCTGCTCTCGTTGTCGCCAAACATGGACGCCACCGTCGAGTCCTCCCACGCGTTGGGGCCCCGCTGGGCTTCCCGCGCAGTGTCAGAGGCGGACGTCCTGGTCCTTTGGATTGGGTGGAGATGCTGCACGGGGAGGCTCATGGTCGCGGTTGGCTGGGCTGGAGCCGTCAATCGGCCGGTCCTCGGTGCGGGTATTGACCTGGCAGTCGCGGGAGTGTCGGGCTGCTGCTGCTGCTGCGGCTGCTGTTGTTGCTGTTGTTGCTGTTGTTGCTGTTGTTGCTGCTGGCGTTCTTGCCGCGCCGCGATAATTTCGTGTGGGGGTTGCAGCTGTGGAAGCTGTGAGCCTGTCGCGGTCGCGTGGCTTGCCCCTGGCAAAACAGGCCCAGGCGTTGCGGATTGGCCCACTCCTGCGGCCCGGGCACTGCTTGTGCCCCCGGTCTGGGGACCACCCACGCTTCCATCGGCCTGTCGCATAAACAAGCCGATCGACCCCAGCTTTTTTTTCGTTGTCGGCATCATCTTCAAACCCATCGACGATCTGGCACGAGCGCAAATCGGCGCGGCGATGTTCAGGGGGAATGACTTGCAGGGGGATGACTGGCTTCCCGCGTCATGCGGTGGTGCCCTGATGCCCCTCGATTGTTTATTTGTTTACGTGCGGACAGGAGGTGCGACGAACAACGCGTCAGGGGAGGTCGAAGCACTGGCATGCAGCTTGACAGATGTCGAACAATGAGCCGCAAAGCCGCGCGGGGAGCCGCGACTTGGGTTATTATCTGCTTCAAACGATGTTGGGCGTCCTCTCTCGATTCGACGAAAACCTGAGATGGGGCAACGGTGCAGCAGTGGGTTGCGAAGTGGTGTGGAGTCCTGGCTGGGTTCTGGCCTCATTCCAGCGTGGGAGTCAAGCATCGTTGAGGTGCGTGGTTCCAATGACAATGACCCGGGAGTTTTTTGACAGGGCCCGGCAGGGGTCGCACCCTAGCTCGAGTCTGCTCGACACGCTAATTTTTCTTCTCCCGCACGCTGTCATATGAACGACTCATGCAGGGTCCGCCAAAACGGCTCCAGCCGCCATCTGAACCTACCACTCACCTTCGCCAATTTCCTCCTCCTGCATCTGTGACGGCTCCTGACAGGCTGCCCTATTCTTCTCCCGCCTGCATCTGCGATGGATTGGATGGGCACGCCTCCCCCAGACTTTGCTCCTCGACCATTGACAAATGGCCCAACGTCAAGTTCAGACCGTTGTATTTCTCCCGCGCATCTGCACCCTGCTACCGATGACTACCCAACGTCCCCCGCAATTTACGATGCCATAGGCGCCCGACGATGAACACACCCCTCGAGTAGCGCCATCTAATGACGTGGTTGGCCCGGTGGAGGACCGATGCCCAATCACCAGTCGAGCGCAAAGAGAGCGGTGTCTCTCGAGTCAACGGCCCGCTTGACTCCCCAGCGCAAGGCGGCATGTCATGTCTTCCTACCCTACCACGGGGGTCATGATGTGGGAGTGGGCGGCTGCACTCTGCGCTCCGATCTAGGACGCGGGACCCCATGGGACCACCTATTAGAAGGGCGACGGGCGCAAGTGAAGCAAAGAAGCGAACGCAGACCGCCACTCATCTCTTTTCCCTGAACCTCCCGTCGTATCAGACAGCAGCCCTGTCACCGCTCATGGGCCGCCGCGCTCCGCAGGAGGACGACACCGGTGGAGAGTCTCAGGGCGAGCGAGCATGTGATGGATGACCCCATTTGGCGGTGGCCTGTTTGACGAGACGGGCCGAGAAGGTGGCATCCATCGAGAGTTCCGATTCGATCCTTTCCCCGCTCCTGATGGATGGGCATATGGTCTCATATTCATTTTCTGCGGACTTGTGAGGGATGCGTACGTGTTGCTTCGTCTCGACAGGATGACCCCCATTGAGCCAGTTCCAAGAAGGCCCAGAACCGTTACCGGATAAACACGGTTATCCCGCGGCTTACCATCGTATCCCATCCCATCCCAAAAGCGGTCCATGGATGCTCGAGGCCCGGGTTCCATCTCGCCAGTCTTTCCGTGGGCTTGGGACGGAAACGTGGGGTGTCCGGGATCGGCAGTTGACCCGCAGTGCCCGCTGAGCGCAAGCGCCGGCCCCATGTTCGGCGGGGTGGGGGCGATAAGATAAGTGAAAGCCCCACCATAAACTCCGGGACAGCCATGGGGGGGCGATTTCTAAGCCAAACACAACGAAAACCTGAGGACTGCATTCCTCACCACAGCCCATATCGAGTAGTTTCGCTACGCTCACCAATCATGGGACCATCTCTAGAAACCCCCGAGCCCGTCGAGGACGTCCTCGCGAACCCGCTCAAGCAGAAACCGCAGCTCGTCGCCCCCGAACCCGAACACTGCCCCGGCCCGGAATCGGAACAGGCCGGCACCGCCGACTCGTGCGCCGGGTGTCCCAACCAAGCAATATGCGCATCGGCGCCCAAGGGGCCCGACCCGGACCTCCCGGCGATCACAGCGCGGCTGGCGGGGGTCAAGCACAAGATCCTGGTGCTCAGCGGCAAGGGCGGGGTGGGCAAGAGCACGCTGACGGCGCAGCTGGCGCAGGCGCTGGCGACGAACCCGGAGGCGACGGTCGGGGTCATGGACACGGACATCTGCGGGCCCAGCATCCCCAAGATGCTCGGCGTCGAGGCCGAGACCATCCACGTCAGCGGCAGCGGCTGGTCCCCCGTCTGGGCCGCCGACAACCTCGCCGTCATGTCCATCCAGTTCATGCTGCCCAACCGCGACGACGCCATCATCTGGCGCGGACCAAAGAAGAATGGCCTGATCAAGCAGTTTCTGAAGGACGTCGAGTGGGGGGATTTGGACTTTTTGCTGGTGGACACCCCGCCAGGCACGAGCGACGAGCATCTGAGCGTAAACACGTTTTTGAAGGAGAGCCGGATCGAGGGTGCCGTTGTGGTCACCACTCCGCAGGAGGTATCGCTGCTGGACGTGCGGAAGGAGATTGACTTTTGCCGGAAGGCGGGCATTCGGATTCTGGGGTTGGTGGAGAACATGTCGCTCTTTGTGTGTCCCAAGTGCACGCACGCGACCGAGATCTTTCAGGCGACGACGGGCGGGGGCCGGGCGCTGGCGGCGGAGATGGGGATCCCGTTCCTAGGTGCGGTACCACTGGACCCCCGGCTAGGCATGGCGTGTGACTATGGCGAGAGCTTCTTTGACTCGTTCCCGGACAGCCCCGCGTGTCTCGCGCTGAAACAGGTGGTTAGGGGGTTGGCGGGACAGATTGGCTTGGACCCGAAGGAAGTTGTGCCGGAGGGCTAGCTTATAATGCCTGGAGTAAACAAAATATGGCCTTTATCGTTCAAGATCATCACTCGTAATGCCCACTATTTCGCGCTCCCCCATCCCCCCCTCCCTCTTCACCCTCGGTTGCGCTCTTGTTTCCTCACGGCAATTCTAATGAGATGCCAACTTTTCGGGAACCTCCTCCAACTCCTCAGCGCTCTCCAAATCCAGAATCCGCGTCACCTCGCTCGTATTCCGCATCAGCTCTTTGGCCCCGGCGTACAGCATGCGCAGCTCGCTGTTGCACGTCGTCGGGAGGTAGTAGAGCATGACATAGGGGACCGAGAGCCGGCCGGAAGGCTGCGACAGGTATCAAGTCAGTTTTAAGACTCCAGCCCTCATGTATACGCTTGTTGTGCAGCGGCTTGGTTGACATACCAGCGTCAACGGATAGCTCAGCAGCACGAACCGCGGCGCGTGGTCTGGCAAATCCTCGGCGAGCTCGTCGAGGGACTTGTACACTGTTTGGTCTTCATCTTGACGGATTTCCTTGGTTTGCTTATCGATCATGTCTGGGGCGGGCAGAAGGTCAGCTGGCGGACGTCTCTCGGTGATTCTTAGGGTCAGGGGATGGGCGAGTTTGACAGGTGAAGACGAGGGTGGTGTCGCGAGACATACATACAGATGACGGCCTGAGGGTCGTTGGACCGCGATGTCCCCAAACGGAACTTTCGCAGGTGGTCTTTTGTCTCTTGCGAGAACGTATATAGCCTCGCTTCGGAACTCTAGAAGGGACGGTCGTTAGCTTGAGGACGCTCCGGAGCCACTGAGCGGTTTAATCTGGGGCTCCCCATTGGCTTTGAGAGGCTGTGGGGGGTGGTATACCATGGTGATGGTCGTCTCGTCTGTCTGGTCTGTTGATACCTCTGTCACGTTTGAGCTCGGCGATCAACTCGCGTCAGTCGTGGTTTGAGGTGGGGTGCATGTTGGAGTGCCCTGCCCCGCATTCACTCAGTCTCGAGCTGCCCAGCCCCACTCCCCTTCACAACAAGAGCCGGAGCAATTGCCCCCAAGTGCCTGGAACGCGGCAGGTTCGGGGTCGATTCATCCGCTCTTTGCAGGTCCGCTCCATATAAACTACATACATACATGCATGTATAAAGCACGCCTAGCCCTTATAACAACAGCCTGCGCAGACGACCCCATGTTTTCACGTTTATCTCAAGTATCACGTCATTTCTTACGGCCGCTCCCTAACCTCGCTCACTCATCTGCCGCAGCAAGAGGGACAGCGGTGGCCAGCACAATGGCGTCAGGGGTTACAGCAAGTGAGCGAGCCTCGAGAAAGATTCAGACGGCAGCATGCCTTATCATTGGCGATGAAGTGTTGGGTGGAAAGGCAGGTTGCAAAATTGTCTGTGTAGATTGCCGACGCTGACTGGTGATATTGTTGTAGACTAAAGACGTGAGTTGCCGGAGCATGACTGCGTAGGTAGTTGTTACGGAGGCTGACGCAAAGAGGAAGACCAACTCGCACTCTTTTGCCAAATGGTGTTTCGGTTTAGGGATTGTATGTCACTTTCAAAAATGGTTCACGGCATGCCACTTACCTCACCTGGCAGAGCCTAAAACGCGTTGAAGTCGTCGAAGACGACGAAGCCGAGATTGTCGAGGCTGTCCGCCGTATGAGCGAGCGATATGACTTTGTGGTGACAAGGCAAGTCGCCTCGTAGACAGTGCCTCTGGGTACCTATCTTAGGCTAACCTTTTCCAGCGGCGGCATTGGCCCAACGTAGGCCACCCCTTTGACCCATCCTCTCCAATACTTACCATTCCAGCCACGACGACATCACCTACAAGTCAATAGCCAAAGCCTTCGACCTGCCCTTAATCTTACACGACGAGGCCTATGCGCTGATGAAGCAGCTCTCCAAGCCGAAACCCGACCAGGCCGTCTTCAACTGGGACGAGGACTCACCAGCGCGGCGTGCGAAACTGCGCATGGTCGAGCTGCCCACTGACGTGAACCGGCCGCTTAAGGAACAATTCCTATTCCCCTGCCAGGACCTTTGGGTGCCCATTGCCGTGGTCAACGGAAATGTGCATGTGCTGCCCGGCATACCAAGACTATGTAAGGCCTTTTCATTCTTGGTGGCGTCATCCAAACATGAGTGAGGTATGCTGATAATGAAAAACAACAGTCACCCAGCTCCTCAAGGGCATGACGCCTAGCATTCTTCCCCGGCTGACCGACCCGGAGGGCAAGGGGATCATTCGGGTCAGCATCCTGACGCCGCTGTCCGAGAGCACGGTGGCCGAGTATCTCACAGAGCTGGCCGCGCGTGTCGAGCCAAAGGGGGTCAAAGTCGGGAGCTATCCGCGGTGGGGCAAGAAGAAGAACGTCGTGACGCTGGTGGGGAGGTATGTATCGTCTCTCCTTGTATACGCGCGTAAGATTTGTGTGATGCGAGGGGAGGCTGACCGGCCACGCAGGGACAAAGAGTATCTCGAAACCATCACACCCGAGGTCCTGTTAAATGTGACGGGAACGCTGATAACGCCAGGGAAGGAGGAGGAAATTGAGGATGACGAGGTGGAAGAATCGAAGTGACGCATCCGGCCATTGGCCGTGGTGGAAAGTAATCGACGTTGGTTCAACTCCATCCTTTGAGCCCTGGTGATAAGGGTCCCGGGTCGTCTTTTGACCGTACAGTGCGCAGTTTGCAAGCGAGAGCGGATCTTTGTTCGCCTACACAGGCGGCAAATTAATACGGGATGGTGTCACTCCCACGGGTCCCCATGTCGTGAATCGCTTTCCCTATTCGGCAGACCCTCGGCGGGCAATTTTCTAGACTACTTCTAGAAGGGTTGATGACCCGTCCGATAGAATAGGGGGCGCCATAACGAGGCGAAAGTCCGGGGAGTTTCGGGTGTGATGTTGGGATTGTTCCGCCAGTTTCGACTGATCGAGCCCCTGAAGGTGATTTTGTTTCATTCGAGATGGAGCTTGGCGACGGAGGAAAAGAGAAGCTAGCGCACAGACAACCCCACATAGCCAGAAGCCATCGGAGCCATGGCCACAAGCTGTTCCAGGATTCGATTTTAGGTTTGGGGGTTTCCAAGTTTGGTGAAAAAGACTCGAGGGACAGAAAATCAAGGGCAGTGTCACGCCAACAACAGATCCTGCCTAGGACGGCTCACCGAGCCCTCAACACGGCGTTCGCCGTGTTCAAAAGGAGAGAGCTGCGTTAATTACCCCACAAAAGCAACCGGAAGTGGTAATATCAGGTGTGGGGAACTCCAATCCCACTTCCCGTCTTGTCCCCCTGCTTCTCAAACGAAGCTTCTCTCCCGGCCCGCAATATCGCAGGGATAGCAAGCGCACGGCGTTTGTGGCGGACGGACGGCCAGCCTTGCCAGCGTCGTGTCCCAGGCCCCGGAAAGGTCGCGATGCAGAGAACCTGGGTTCCTCCTGTGTTCCAGCGGAAGCGCAGTTGCGGCACAGAAAACGGGCCCGAATCGGCCACCCCGATTTCCTCGGGAAAATGTGATCAGTCGGTCACTTTTTCATCACAGCTGTTTACGGCGGTCTGGCGTCTGGTAGCATCCACCACAATTTGGTAGCACACACCTGCTGAGAGAGGAACGCGCTTCATCGGGTCGCTACAAACCAAGACTTGTCGATCAACTTGACCATATTAGTGAGGCGTGAATTGACGCGCTGAACCTCGCTGAATCTCGGCTCCTGGTTTACACCGGTTAGCCGCCCTCGAGGGCATTTCCGTGATCAGGAATTGGCAATGGCGGCACTTCTGGTGCGCCGTGGAACTGCTTGTCCCGTCCCAGACCGTGTTGTCTGCCACACTTCTCCGGGATGGACGTGCCGACTAAACAAGCGAGTGCCCTGCCTCGAATCCAGAAACTCGCGCAGGTTGTACATACACGGTCGGTTCGTCTGCTGAATTGGGGGTTTCGGCCTGAACGTGGGACGTCTGTTCCAATTACAGATCACAAACTTAGCCTGCCGAGGAACATGCGGCAGAGTTCTGGAAGCCACCCGCGTGCGTTGCATCGGATCCTCAGGCTGAGTCGAATGGAGTGATTCGAACCACCATCCGCAACGGCGCAGTCATTTTGGTCATGTGTGGACAAGAAAAAAACAATGCGTCATTCGGAGAGGTGGCTGACTGCTGACACCAGGACGACCTGACGATATGAGGTCAGTAAGGCGATGAGGCTCTCGACAGGCTGTCGTCAGCCTTACCCACCCTCGAGCCACAGCGGCGAATTGAAGCTGCGGTCGCGTTGCTTGACGGCGGTCCCAACAGCAGGAACTTCCCAGGGCTTGGCTGGGTTCTTCTGGCTGGGTCTCCACGCGGACAGCCGCTCGCGCATCCTGCAGCGGGGCGGGGCCAGGACCGCTCTGCATCAGTGCCTGACATGCCTAGGTCGATAGGACTGTACTCGATATTTCTGGCAAAGGCCACTTCCGTCAACTCCGAATCGTCTCTTCATTCTTGGCGATGGAATTGTTCTCCTAGTCTGTAGCCATCTTATTACCCACAGTCAACCAGTAAAACCTCACGATAGTTGACAAGCAATATGCTTGTATAGACCCTACCAGGACTCCAAAAAGATTCATCGTCCTCATTCAGGGACCAGGGCGCTTGCATGTGGGGTGGGCCAACAACCTCATCCGCCACAGATGACTTGTGATGTGAAAGGTGATAGAAGCATGGGGTGTCCCTCAGCTTGTCACCAGTGGCCTTTCCATTCTCACTTTTCTGCACCATTTTGACCGCGAGGTACACAGCAGCCTCAAAGCTACCTACCTAGGTACCTAGGAATCCAGGCTGAGACAGGATTGTGGTCAGGGAGGTATCGTGAAGTGAGGTCACTCGGTCTGCCACAGTGCGAGGGTAAAAAGAACAATTTGCCGACCCCCAAAGCAGGCAAGTCCAAGCTGATGGATGGGGAACTACCCTTTGTCCCCCACTGTCTGGCGCCGTGACATTCGCGAATCAGAAGGGCGATGAGCCTGGCCCACCACTTGCACCCCGGAAGGCACACGGACCCCTTTCCACTCTCCGCCTAGCTGCCTTGGCTTGCAGCTCTTCCTCTTTGGCCGCGCTTTTGAACTTGACCTTCTCTGGCCAGCGGTACAGCGGTTCTTCCAGCGTAATCTCGATTTCTCAAGCTGTTTTTCCGTTTTCCGTGCAGCTCTTTCTCCTTCAACCTCGAGCCGACTGACCTGCTGTGATCGCCACCGCACAGTCACTTACCCGATAAACCACCAAGTCACCAGCTTCGGCAGGACCAAAAGGCAAGCAACACCAGCCCCCGGGCGGTTCCAGAGAAATTCGATTGCCGATCTTCCCATAATCCAAAGGGGTGTTCGCCTCGCGTCCACATCGGACCATCGCGCAAGCGCTGCTCTCTTCTAGACGGCAATTCCTCCCCAAAACCAATGTCAGTCGTCCCAGCATCCCCCCTCTACCCGTTTGGCGAACAACACCGATCGGAATTATCCCGTGCAAGGTTGGCGACCGACTCCGTAAATTCGGCATATCGAAGAGCGGTCTTCCTTGTCTGAGGGTGAAGCTCAGCTTTTTCCATCAACAGGACTAACAGCCACAGTTCTTGAGTCGTCATCTTTTTTCTCGATTCTTTTCTCAGTTCACACATCCACAAAGATGGCCTCAAAGGTTTGTTGTTTTTGTCACTCCCCCAATCGGCCGGCCGACCATGTTGCCCAGCTTCTTGTCGCGTCTTGTGTGCGATCGCCACCCCCCATTGGTTTTCATTGGCTGATTGTCGCATGTATCTGATCGCGTCGCAGTTCACGAGAGAATACAAATTGGTGGTGGTCGGTGGCGGTGGTGTCGGCAAGTCGTGCCTCACAATCCAGCTGATCCAGTCGCATTTCGTCGACGAATATGACCCAACCATTGAGGGTACGCAGCAGCAAACCACCCCTTCCCCCTCTACCGCCGCCGCAGCAATTGATTGATATTCTGGTAGATTCGTACCGCAAGCAGTGCATGGTAGACGATGAGGTGGCGCTTCTCGACGTGCTAGACACAGCTGGCCAGGAGGAGTACTCGGCGATGCGGGAGCAATACATGCGCACCGGCGAGGGTTTTCTCCTTGTCTACTCGATCACATCCCGCGAGAGCTTCGAAGAGATCAGGACCTTCCAACAGCAGATCCTGCGCGTCAAGGACAAGGACGTTTTCCCCATGGTGGTCGTCGGCAACAAGCTTGATTTGGCGAGCGAGCGCAAGGTCTCGGTTGAAGGTAAACCATTTCTTTCAAAGTCGGAGTGGTGTCTCGTTTCTTTTTCTTTGATGCTAACAGCCGTTTGCAGAGGGCAAGATGCTGGCAGACGAGTTCAACTGCTCCTTCCTCGAGACATCGGCCAAGACCAACACGAACGTCGAGCCGGCCTTTTTCGAGGTCGTCCGGGCGATCAGGAATTACAACCGCGAGATGCAGGGCGGGCCGACCATTGGTGGCGGTCTTTCTCACAACGGCGGCGGCATGGGCAAGATGGACATGGCCGACGACGACGCGCAGGCGGGCTGCTGCTCCAAGTGCGTGCTCATGTGAGGGCCCGAACCGTCGCAAAACTGTCTCGATAATGCATGACGACGGGGGAACCTGGGAATGGAAGCGGCGACGTGTATACATGATCGGTTTGACGGGAAACTCGTTGTGGCGCCTGGAGCCGGAATTGGGTCTATGCCCGCATATGAACGAACTGAGGGACATCTTGCATTGGTCGGGAGTTGGGTTGCTTTCTGGGACCCGGCGGGCTCGAGGGCTGTCTGGTATCCTCGGAACAGCCTCAGGCAGGTTTTCATTGCTCGCCTGCTTTCTGAGGCGGCATGCGGTTCGCTTCCTTAACTCGATGCGCGCGGGTGGCCACGGCTGCCCATCTTCTACCCGCATTTGGGTTCTTCTTGGGAGTTGTTGAACTGTTCACAGGTTCGATAGGGTTGCTCTCAGACTTGTAATTCTTTTTTCGATTGTTCAGATATTTTTTTTTTTTTTTTTTTACTTTCAGCGTTGTGTGCGGATGTTGCCAGCCGTGGTGTTTACGATCATGCGATTTGTTTTACTGCTTTTCGCAGGCCAGCTTCAGAAATGGGACAAGCTTGCTTCGCGAATACCCACCAAGAACTCTCCCTGCACAGGACTGTATTATATACCTTTGGTGTATGATTCTGTGCTGAGACCTGGGTGAGGCTGCATGGATACTACCATGGCTCGGCACTCGTTCCAGTCTCGCATGTTTCCCAACAACCTTCTAGAAATAACTCTGCATGTTTCGGTCGGCTCTTGGGCCCCAGGTTACACAGGATCTCAGCCACAACCCAACGCAACTCGCTTTCGGATACGAATACAACGCTCTTTTTCTGTCATCTCGCTTTTGTGCAACGGAATGACCGGAGAATGGCGAGTTTTACCGAAGCAACCGAAGCAACGTTGGAATTGAATAGGCCCGAACCCGCCATCGAGCAGCATTCTGGATGCTGACTTGAGCCACTGCTATGCCGTCGCTCACATGACCTTTTCTTGATGTACTGTGTAGTTGCATTCGCATTCCGCCGCATGGCACGATGTATTCGTCAACCGGACCCCACCAACCCAGGCCGAGGGCTGAGCCGATGCCAGTTTCACATTCTCAGCAGCGCCCCTGAACGCCCCTATCCACAGCATAGGACCCGCCGTCAGCTGGCGTATGTAGTTATGTAGAAGGATCACCGCAGGCAAGGTTGATGACGCAACGTGACACATGGCGATTAGCTAGTCCGGAGATAGTAGAGGGAACCTGGAAGCTGAGCAAGAGGGCATGCCATGGAATTGTAAATCCGGTCCGAGACACGGCGCCTCCCTCCTTTTGGACATCGGATCGGATCCTTTGAATCTGACATTCACGGGCCGCCGGGATCCACATCGCCGATCGATGTGCCGGATCGGGGGGCGCGGCTAAACTCGGATCGCCAGACCTCAACTGGTATCCAACCAACCTAATTCTAACTTCAGCCTCGAATTTAGGATTCATCAACCACATCACAACAACTACAACAACCACAATGGCCATAACCACCACCCCCAGTGAACCATCCACCCCCAACTCCCCCAACCCTAACCCCCTCAACCCCAACCCCCCCCTTCCCATCCCCACCCCAACACCCCTCCCCACCTCCCTCGCCCGGGACATCCTGCCCACCCCCTCTGCCTCCCTCCGCCGCTGCGCCGCCTACCTCCGCGCCCGCCACCGCTTCTGGGACGCCTTCCCCCACGGCCGGTACACACGGCTCCCCACGCCGGGCACAGACCTCGAGTGCGGGTTCCATGCGCTGATTCTTTCTGCGCGAGCGCAGTTGGATGGTTTGTCATCTGTGGGAGGGGAGGGGAAGGGGTTGAGGGTGAGGGTGCCGACGCTGGAGGAGTTGAGGGTGGTGTATGCGTCCGAGGTGGTGCAGAGGGAGAATGGGAATGTGGGGATGGGGAATGGGAGATGGTTTACGGCGGATCAGCTGGCGGCGGTGTTTGCGGCGTGGGGGAGGCGGTTTCTTGTTGGTGATGGTGGTGGGGAGGGGGTAAAATGGCGGTGTCAGATGGGGTGGGTGATGGAGAGGGATGAGGAGATTGGCGTGGAGGGGTGGCCGGTTATGATGAATACGCCCGAGGTGGATACGGGGGAGGTCGGCGAGGGGATCGTGAGGGTCTGGGTGTGGAATGATGGCGGGTCGTTGAGGGGCGGCGTGGGGCATTTTGAGGGGATTCGGAGGCCGACGGAGGAGGAGTTGGCGGTGATGGGGGGACGGGAGTAGGAATCTGGAAGGTAGGTTACGTCTGGCGAAGAAGGCCTGGTAGTCGCGGACCCCACCCGTTCAGTTCGATGGGACTGTGACGATGGTGTGAAGGAAGGTACAGTCGCGGATTTCGGTGGCCAACTTGAAGGTGTTCAGAACCGGTACTGTATATGGGTAGTGCTCTCCCTTTGCAACTGAAAGTACCTGTTGAGCCCACCCAATAGTACCCCGCCGTTCTCAACATTCCCAATGAAGCCCGGCTCGAGGCAACGCTACCGCAACGCACTAGTATCAACATCCCTACAACCTCCACAGGCTAAACGCCCCCGAGACGCCCAACGGTAGCCAGCAAATCATACCACTGAACCCGGCCCCTTCTCAACCATCCCGCTCCGCTACATAGGCCGATCAACATGGACACCGAGCCATTACACCTTTTCCTAACCCGCTCGGGGGCACCTACCAAGGGATTCCTTACTCCAGCACGAGTCTTGATGGGGTTCTGTACAACAAATCATGACGCGGTCATCATCGAAGGTATGTCGGTACGCCCACCCTATACTTCGGGATTCTACACCCATCCGTCCATCGTAGGGCGGCCCCCAATCAAACCCCCTTCAAGCTTCAATCCGTTCGAATTCACCCCCGAGAGGTACTACGACTCCAATGCAGAGAGGAGATCCAGACGACCCCGAGATGTTCCGGGGTTTGTTTCGCGCGGGACATGAGAGCCTGCTTGAGTATAAACCCGAGGTCCTACTCACCATCTGCAATGCGGATTTCGTCACGGATTCGGTCACCATGGTGCAGCTATTCAATGTCGCCGGCGATGTATACCGCCAAATGCCGCGTCCCACCACCGCGTTGCATCTGAATCTTTTTGTCCACGTCGTCCACGGCAAGGTATTCATGAAGGCTTCGGGCCCAAGATGCGGTCGCTTTCGGACAGAGGCCACGGGCCACTCCGTTCCGCCTCGGTTCGGTTTGTGCGACAGGATGAAGGAGATGAACGCGCAGTGCTTCAAGCGAGTGACAGCATACAAATTACGCACTGCAGGAGAGAGTGTGATACCCCCGTACACCATCGTCATCCAGGACGATAACCTGATGGAGGCAATGAAGTCAGAGGAGCAGCTTGACTGCGTGGCTCTTCGGAGCTGCCGACACCACGGAGCCACCATCAACCACGCTGTCCAAATCGTCGTTCAGGACAACCATGGGTCTCTTAGTAACCCCAGTGAGGCTGCAGTGAGGAAATCTTGTTCAGAGTTTATGCCCAGGATCTATTTCGCTGGTTGCCAATAGATCTGTCTCAGCCGATTCGGGGCTGACTTGAGCAAGGGTTTCTGGGAGTCGTCCGCTGCCCAGGTTTACCCTGGGGCCTTGATATCCTGGAGACAAAAGCAATCGGGGGAGCTTTGGAGCCTGGCAAATCTCCTGCAGTGGATCCAAACCAAGGCGAAACGCCATGCTTCGGCCCACGGGAGTGATACCCGATTCACAGTTCAAGTCAAGGCTACCTCGTGTGAGCAGGATGGCGAACTTCTCGTGCCTATATATAGCCTCGTCACCGAGGCGGTGTCTACGGATGAGAGACTCGTCTCCGAGAAGGACGTCGACACCCTCTCCCGCTGGATGACTGAACCGGGCTTCCGATATCGACCGGACGAATCCCCCCCACCATATGCCCCAGTAGCATATCCCCCACCACCATATGCGAACTAGCCCCGGTGGTTTTGGGGGTTCTATACACAGACCGGCTTGGTAGGGTGGTAACAACAATGCTAGATATGAGTATCAGCTGGTTAGGTAGGGAGGGATGGGAGATAACCCGTTATTGAGACGGTGTGGTAAGCCGAAGCGAAGAGATGGGGGCTTTACAACGTCAAGCCATGGCGAGCATGTACACAGCAGGGTCTCCATTTAGCGTTTAAACTGGCACATTGGGTTGAGACCTAAATTCTACGAGTGTGACTCCGCGACACCTCCCCTTCCACCTGCCACGTCTCACCCACTCTTACAACTTGGGCGGCGAGTCGTCTCCATCAATCTGGATCACCAGCTTGCCGAACTGCCGCCCCGCCTTCATGTCGTCAAACAGACTATCGATCCCCTCGAGGTTGTCCAGCCCCTTTACCACCCTGCTCACAACCGGCCGGATCTTGTGCTCGTTCACAAACTCCACCATCTCCCTGAACTCCTTCTTGGACCCCATCGTCGTGCCCTTCAACTCAACATGCTTCAGCGTCGCCTGCATCAGCCAGTCCATCTTCGGCCCGACCGTCATCCCATAGTTCGCAATCACACCCCCAGGCTTCAACAACTTAACCGTCTTCCCCACCACCTCCCCGCCCGCCCCATCCACCACCAAATCCAAATACGGCCTCTCCTCAGGCAACATCCCCGCAAACCTCTTTCTCCCACCCCCCTTTCCCGATAATTCACCCTCGCCATCACTCTGATTCTACACGCCCCCCTTAAATTCTCTTACCCTCCGATGAACTCAACCAAACATTACATCCCTCTCGCCTCCCAAACTAAAAAACACGAGCCACAAGCTCCGGCATCACGCGGAGCCACAAGGGAGATCCGTGGCGGGCCTGCGTG